ACATTTTGAATTTAGTTTGGTAAGATATTGAAAATCTCTACAGCATGAATTTAATGAAAATCACAACGTGAATTTTAATGTGGAGAGATTGAAAATCTCTACAACCTGCATTTAATGTGGAGACATTTTGAATGTTGTGTAGAGAGATATTTGAAAAATCTCCACAACATGTATTTAAAGTGAAAACATTTTGAAAATCTCTACAACACGAACTATAGTGTGGAGAGATATTGAAATTATCTAGCGCTAAAAGACATTAATGTTTTTAAACTATGTAAATATTTTTTTTTTGGAAAAATGCAAACGCTGTAAAATAATTTTGTTGTCTGCCAAATATGCTCGCCGACATTAGCACGCTTTATCATTATTTCGTTTTGAAACGTTCTTTCAGTGAGTGTTTGTATTAGTTTCCGTAGCTGCATATATATGTATTATTTATTTTTTCTATATTTATCTCCGCTTTTGACATGTATAAAGAATTGCTGAATAATTAATAAAAAGTTTTGCTTATATGTATGTCAGCTTTTTTTGCCTAACACTCTGTTGTTGGCGATTTTTGTGTATTTTGCACTACATTTATTATTAATATTATTTTGTTTTTTTTTTTTTTGCTTCATTTTTAGTACATATTCTTTCATTCATTTTGCATCTTTATTTTGCATTTTTGACTAGAATTCTTGTTTGTTTCATGCGTGTTTATATTATTTGTTTCCTTTCTTCTTCATCCTTTTTACCGCCTGTTACACTGCTTTTATACTCCTAAACACTATTTACTCGTATGCTATGTACTAATTATGTATTGTATATATGTATGTATTTTAACTTAATTAATTTATTTGTTCTTACGCGTTTGCACGCTCGCTTAGCGTTTGCTTTCTTTCAACTAATTTCTCACATCCTGCCTTCCACACTACACCAAATTTGTTCAGTTTATACTTTTAAAATTACGGGAAAAAGGAGAAAAAAATATTTTGCTGTTGTTTTTAGCATCAAAAAAAATAAAATAAAAAAAAAAAACCTATTAATATAAGTATAAGTATAAATTAAATATATGTATGTATATATGTAAATAGATTTTACTTTTTCTGGGTTCCGTTTTGTTTTGCAACTTTTCTTCCTAGTACTTAACCATAAAAAAAATGGATTAATAAAAAAAAAAACAATCAAATAGAGGCTTTTACAGCGCTGCCGTGCAAAAAAAAAAGTAAAAGACTGCTTGCCACAATAGCGAATCTGCCTTTAGGCAACAGTATCCGCTTCTAAGCAGCATTTCATCAATCAATCCAACAGCAGCTGTAAATGCCACTAAGGCGCTCTGAAATACTTAGCGCTTTTCACAAGCATACATATGTTATGTGTATGTATGTATGTATGTTTGTGAGTTAATGTGAAAATTTGTAAATTCTCATAAATTATTCCCTTAAAAACTATAAAAAAAAATCAATATATATATATATATATAAAGAAATATTTTAGACATAACTAATACATACACAAATTTGTTTATGAATATATAAGCATATGTATGCATGTGTATATAAATATGTTTATAAACATTTAATTAATTAATTTTTGTAATAAAATTATTAATTTTTGTAATAAAATTAATTCTGCTTAACATTGTTACACAAAATATTACTTAGTACTTTTTTATTTGTTTGTTTGTATGTTTTTTCTGTGTTGAATTTGAAAGCGAAATTGTTATACAACAAATAAGTATTTATATACATACTACATATGTATGTTTTTTATATACGTTTAAGTAAACAACACACATCTACATAAATTAATATTGTTTGTGTAAAATCTGCAATAAATATATATATATATGTATGTATGTATGTATGTAAGTATGTATATAAATATACATAACTTAATTACGCTATATTATTAAGCATATATATTATATGTATATTGTGTGTCGGTGTTATATCGTATTGTATATGGACTGTGTATATAAGTGAATTTTTAAAATAAACATATATATGTATGTATGTGTGTAAACAAAATAACTGGTTGCAGTACAGGCGCTTTCATATGAAATGAACTTCTAATTTGTTTTTTTAAACAATTAATTAAATACGCATAAAAAAAAAGTACAACAACAAACATAAAGAGTAGTAGCTGCATTGAGTCGAGCGACAATGAACTGATCAGAAAGTAAAATTTTCATTTTCATTTTTACTTAGTAAGTAGTATGTTTCAACAATCAACCTCGTCTACAAATCAATTCTAAATTAATTAATTAAATCATCACTTGAAATAAAATAATTTTTAATTAAATTTGAAATAATTTCAAAACTCATATGGGCAAATTGTAGCAGTTGGCGCGTTGTTTCAAGCGTAATTTAACGCAAATAAAAAAAAATTAATTAATTAATTAATCAAATTAAATTGTAACAAAGTAATCAACACAAGATTTTAATGTATATTGCACTATATGTATATATATTATGCATATATACAAACATAACTGAGGGATAATAATTTAATACAATGCAATCGTAACGCACAAATATTACAACAAAAAATAAATCACTATTGTCATGTAATTTTTTTTACACAAAAAACTGCAACTAATTAATTAGCAAAACTCGGCGCCTTAATGGAAGAAACTAAAACATTATGATTAAAGGAAAAAAATTAAGTCCGAAAATTGTTAAAAAAAAAATAGAAAATATTTATAAAGGCGTGTAAATCTTTACCATAAAATTTATATATGTATGTATGTCTATAGTTAATTATATTTAATTGTAGCATTTTGTGCTTTACATTGCAATTATGTCTCAAGTTATTTTGTCAACATCCATTGTATACCCACGCTAAACGCAAGTGCTGAGGAAGATGAGTCGTTATACGTGTAGTAATGCTGCGCAGTTCCAAATACATAAAGAAACTCAGAAATTTCTACATATTTCCGTGCGCAGAGAATTATGCTCAAAGTAAAGATTTAGTAAAATTTCAAAACTTAGGCGTACTGCAAATATTATTCAGCTCTTTTGAAAGCACACCAAACTCACACGTTTGGTAGTTTAGTAGCAGTTTTATTGATTTTACTTTGTATTGCAGCGCACATTTAAATTTAATTTTTAAAATTTAAGATTTTAGACCTAAACTTTGTTTGCTAGAAATTCAGCGCATGTTTAGTGTTAATCAGCGCCTGTGAAATTTCCAATTTGGGTTAATTAAAATTCAAACGTTTGTTTGTTAACAATTCAATTCAATTCAGCACGAATTTTGTGCCATCCTGCGCTTATAAAAATTTATGGTTTATGATTTTCCAGCTCTTTTATGTCTTTGTCAGCATATTTATGCAATTCAACGCTCAAATTGGTTCAATATTTGACAAATACAACTTAGGAGATTCCCTTTTTTTAGGCAAACCTTTGTAGTGAACTAAGCGCAATTTAGTATCATTCACTTTGGCCTTCAAAAGCCTATAATTGAAAACAATTTCATAGTGGAAATCTGAACTTGCAGCAAAAAGTACAGCGCTCATTTTCATCAACAAAGGGAGCGCAGCGACCTGTGCGTTCTCGTTTTATTATTTGTTTAACGTTTTTCGCTTTAAAAAAAAAAATAATATAGTTGCTTTTTTGATAAAATTTTACATTTATAATTATAATTATTTTATATTTTTCTTTGTGTATGCAGAAGATTTAAGTTTTTTCAAATTTATTTTGCATTGCTTGTTTAATAAGTTTCTTTTTTTAATTTTCAATTTATTGTTTCTCAATCGATACTGCTTTGTTAATTTGTTTTAAATTTGTTTAATTTTTGTATTTTTTTTTTCTTTTTCCTTTACTACTACATTCATATATATTTAATAAAATTATTTAGCTGTGCCGTACGCAGGCTTTGACATCTAAATTTCCTATTTTTTTTTTTTTTTTTTTTTGTTATAAACTTAAACCAAGGTTTTTAGTTTTCGTTTTTTTAAGTTTTGCTTTTATTTATATTTAAACTTTTGCTATTTAATACTGTAGCAGCCTCCTTGACGTTGACGTTTTTGCTATAATCTCTAAGATTATCATTTAGTACGCATGTATGTATTATTTTTTATTTACTATTTTTTTTTTAGTATTGTTTTTGCTAGTCTATTAAATAAAGAAAAAAATAACTGTTTATTTAATTAGTTTATATTATCATAACGCGCCTATGCGCCTAAACTGTGCTCACTCTAATGCTGTTTAATTTGCCATTTTCTGTTCTTTTCCTTTTTCTTTACATAATTTCAATATTTCCAGCTTGCTAAGCCTTATTATATGTATGTATATTTGAAATATTACGACCATTAAAATGCGCTTATTTAGCATGTAAAGTTAATTTTAAATTTTTTATTATTAAAAATAGTTTTTTTTTCAACTAACTTTTGTTTTAAAACCTGCGTACGCTTTTTAATATTTTTTATTATTTATTTTATATTTTTTGTTAATTTTGAATGGTATATTTTTTACATTTAACGCGTTTTTTTTTTTTGAGTTAGAAAACGTATAAAAAATTGTCAACATTTAAAATTGCAAATGAAAATTTAAAATACACGTACATTTATTGCTGCCGGCAGGCCAAGTTCATGATTACTTTACGGAAGATGGAAGATACTTGTTTGACATACTTTTTTGTATTTTCTAATACATTTTTTTCATTATTTTAATTTTTATTTTTACTGCCAAAATGGCGCTCATTGAGCTAATCGGTATTGTGACTTTGTTTTTGTTCAATAAATACTTTTTAATTTTTTAGTAGTAGTTTTAAGATTTTTTAATTTCTTTTCCAATTTTTTTAAGTGGAAAGTGGCATGTGTTGATTGCTTTGTTCAATTTTAATTTGATGCAGAGCACGGACACTCTCATTTTATTTGAATTGAATTCGTACACTTAGCAGTTTGTTTAGTGGGAAAGAAAATGTGAGCGAAATTCTCAAATTCCAAAGAATTTTTGTATTATTTCGGAATATTCATTATCAATATTTCATTTTTATTTTAGTAGTGTTCTTTTTTTTTAATTTTGTGGAATAGCACGTTTCAGCGTGTAAAATTTTAGCGAATCAAAATTTAGAAATTCAGTTTTTTTAGCAGCAAAACCCGTTACAATACTTTTCGAATTGTTAAATCCTCGTTTTTCTATGAGAAAAGCAAAAATGCATAAAATATCAATCAAAGCTTCAAATAATTCCCAAAAGTTTAAAAATCATATTTTTATTGGAAATTCAATAAGAAACTTTTTTTTTTAATTTAAATTTTCAAACATTTCGCTTTCGAAAATATATCATTTAATTTCTGTCTACCAACGGCACCAGAAAGCTTGTGCTCAACTCGACAGGCGCACACATACACCCAAAATAACAGGTAGGCAGGACAGGCAAGCAAATACTGCAGCTGTCCGTATATATTTAAAAATAGTATTTAGTGGGTAATAATTTTTAATCTTACTGAAGAGAAATTTTTCGAATTCAAGACAATTTTTTTGAGTGAATTAAATGGAATTTCGCAATATGTCTTTCGTACAAAATAAGTGTATTCAAACATACATATTTGCATACAAAGTTATATACAAACAAACATATATATGTATGATTTTCACTAATGAAAAATTCTTCTTGTATTGCTTGCTCCTAGTTGCTTGTTGTTGTTAAGCATGAGGGAACATTGAACATAGAAACAAAGAAAAAAACAACCCTAAAAAACATTTTTAGGGTGCCTCGTATGTGGCGGTGTGTGTGTTTTGGTAGACAATGTACGGTGTATAGCGGGTGGTTGCTCTAAACTACTGGCTTGGTGGTGCACGCGCCATTTTCCCATTGTGTGTGCATTCATTTTCTTTTACGCCAGCAAATACAAGCCAATGGCTGAATGTCTGACTCACTCACAGACTATCGCGGGTCTGCTTTCTCTGTTGGTGTTGCAAAGCAGCTTAAAATTGGTTCAATTTTTTTAGTTTCATACATTTTTTTTCAATGCCGTTTTTTTTTATTTTCATAATTTTAATTCGCTAAAAACACGCTTTTGCAATATTCTGGCTACTTTTCGCGTGCCCCCAATATACTAGGTATAACTTGTTTCCTTCTTTTTTTTTTTGCTACAACACAATAATTTTAAATTTTTCGTTGCAACTACTACCTTGTGCTTGTTCTTCTTACATTTTTCAGAGATAAACTTAACATTTTGCTAAATTAATTTAATTATAAACATTTTAGCATGTTTTGTATTTAAATTAATTTAACATGTTTTTAACGCTTTTAGGTTATGTCGCTAACATTTTCAATTTATTGTATACAGATACAAATATTTGTTAGTACACGGGGCGCACTTTACATTGGCATGAAAAAAAGCCAACTAACAACTTGCCTGTAATTTTCATTTCATGCCACGTTGTTGCTTTTCGTATAGCCACTACTTTCCTGTTGTTGTTGCTGTTGTTTTATATTTTCACTTTACTTAGGTTATGCGTTTGTTTGCATATGTGTGTGAGTTTGTGTATATTGTGTGTGTCCACTGTTGTTCTTACTACTATTAATAATAATGTTGTTGTTTGTTGTTGTTTACTGCTACTCTCTCGCCGCTGTTGTTGTTGTTGTTGTTGTCAATTTCTACTACCTCTGGATTTTTTCTTAATTTTTTTTCTACTATTACTACTACATCTACCACAGAAGTCAAACACATTTCACTCTCTACTCTTTACTTTGATTTGTTGGTCTTGAAGCTAACTTGTAGCACTCGATTGCCCAATGTGTAGCCGTTGAGTGCGCGTATTGCCATTGCCGCCTCATCATAATTGGTCATCGAGACGAAACCATAGCCCTTGCACTGATTCGAAGTTTGATCCTTAACAATTTTAACCGATTGCACAGCACCGAATGGCCCAAATAGCTGCCAAAGTGATGCCTCTTCCGTTTCGGGTGCTAGATTGTAGATGAATATTGGATATGCGCCACCCGGACCACTGGCCAACGCACTAGCAGCGGCCGCTGTCGCACCCAAACCATTTGGTAACATTACGTCAAGCATATCACCGGCCATGGGTGAGAAACGTGCCAAACCCTTATTGACCGGTGTATGCATAGCGCCGCCAATGCGCCGTACCAGCTGTGGATTAAGGAATGCCGGCAATTGTGGTTGCATGATTTTACTAGTACTGCCGGGTGTATTTGAGAATTTCACAACAATCGGATCGGTACAGTCCGGTGGTGTGGTACCGTTCAAAGCGATAATGGCGCGTGTGGCCTCCTCACGTTTGTCGAAACGTATGAAACCAACACCCTTGGTCTGCGAATCATTACCGGCATTCTGTAAAATACGCGAAGTGATAATAGCTCCGAATGGTGTAAATATATTTTCCAATTCTTGTTGTGTCATATTCTTCGGCAAACCGGAAACATATAGATTAGCGCCCTTAATGGCATCCGATGAGGGTCGTGCAAATGATACTTTAATGGTTTTATTTTGTAAACGCAAACCGTTCAATACATTTACAGCCTGTTCGGCATCTTGTGCGCGTACATAGTTCACAAAACCATAACCCAAACTCTGACCCTTGTTGGGTCCTTGCGGATTCAGGGGATCCATGAATGCTTGTGATTTATCTCGTATCAATTTAACCGATTCTATTTCACCAACACTTGAGAATAACGAACGGATTTCATCTTCGGTCATTGTTTGTGGCAAATAGTTGACAATTAGATTGGTGCGCGTCTCGCTTGAGCCATTATTACCATTCTGTTGGCCATTTGCATTGCCATTGCCATTTTGTTGTTGCAATTGCTGTGTTACGGCTGCAGCGGCGGCGGCGACAGCTTGTTGTGTTTGCTGTTGCTGCACTTGTAATATGGCCTGCTGCACCTGCTGCTGCTGTTGCAGTTGTGCGGCCGCAGCAGCGGCAGCAGACTGCGCAGGTGATGCATTCGATGCGGCGAGGGCGGCTGCGGCAGCTGCCGGATTACCAGCGGTCTGAGCCATTAGTTGGGCCTGTGCGTCTACTGGGCCTGCGGCATTCGCCATCATAAAGTCCACTAAGTAATAGGCGATGGTGCAGAGGGATGAGTGGACATGTGGTGTGGATTAAGGTGGATTGATGTGAAGAGAAGCGTGGAAAAAAAGGAAATGTAATTAAAGAAAACAAATTTTTTAGAATTAGAATTTAGCTTTTAATACAATTTTTGTCAATAAAATATTTTTTATAAAAAACTACTAAAGAAGTAATAATTTTTTATTTAGTAAAAAAAAAAAAACTACGTTAATTTTTAAGTAAAAAAAAATGATTTTTATTAATGATTTTTAATTTTCAGTTTCTAGACTACTTAGAAATAGGTACATACATATGTATTTGAATGCAATTTTAATAGATTTATATATAAAAAATTGCATACATACTATATGTACTTATTTATAATAAAAATAATGTTAGGTCTCTATGTATACATACATACATATGTGCGTATGTAAGCTTATGTAGCTGTAACAAATTGAACGATGATCTAAGTTTTCGCTAATAACTTAGTCACAGAGAATTTGTTTAATTTTTTGTTTTTGGATAATCAATAGAACTTATTGTCACATAATTCAGTAATTCAACAAGCTTCGTGATACTGAAATATCCATCATAATTATTTTTTAATAAAATTTAATTTATTTCGATTTAAATTTAATTAATTTCATTCAATAATATATCATCCATCATCATATCATTTTAACCTTTTCTCGTTTAAATATTTACATACGTACCTACATAAGCCGTTTGTCAGAGGAAATCAAAAATACCAAAACTATATGTATACACTCGTATACATAATCACCTATGGATCTAGATACATGTGTATATATCCAAAGACACTTCTCATTATATTATAATAAAGCGAGGGTGATATATGATCACCTTAGCCTAGTGCATACATATCTTTGTCAAATGAACGTTTTTTAAATCAATCGATTTATTAGAAATAATAAATAATTTGGTAAAATAAAAAATGATAAATTTACTAATAACGAATAAAAATGAGTATACAATTTTTCTTAATATGCTTTAAAAAAGCTTGTTGCTTTACAAGTTTAAAATTTTATTTTGAAATTTTTTTCTTTTTTATCTGGTCTTTACGTTTTACTACAGCGAAAAGTTGTAGAAATATTCAAAAAATGGAAAAGTTAAAATTTCCAAAAAATTATTTTTGTACTCTACTGCACATGACATAAAAGTAATTAGATCAAACATTGAATCTGCCTCGATAAATGACATGCAGACGGCAATAAAATAGCGAGCAATTTGTAGCTAAAACGACACATTTCTATCACAAAACTATAATGTCGTCGCGCCTCTGTAAACATATGCACTCTTATGTAAAAAAAAAGTCAATTACACATATGTACATATTATATATACCGGCTGGCTATAAACTAAAAAGCTTTTGCCATCTTACTAAACTATGCTTATGTGTATTGGGTATTGGGTGGGACGTTACCACCGGCGTAATTAATGAGTGCGAAGAACATCGGGAGCGTCGAAATAAAATATCGCTACATACATATTATGCTCATTTCTATATGCATGAAAAATACTCTGCTTTGCTTCAGCGTTGCTTTTTTTCGTTACTACATAGCATGCAAGAATGAAATAAAACTATATACAAAGAGAATATTGTCTACTCATTTGACTTCCGACAGTATGTATGGATGTATGTGTGTACTTTGCCAACTAGATGGAAAAGCTTGGCGTTGGCATTAGCAGTGGCGCCGTACCATATGCCAACGTTTTCCCATATATTTGCTGCGCTTTTTTAGCAGTCATGCGCCTTGCTTTTGAATACTCACTTGCGTTAGCGTGTGATTTCCTTGTTGCGGCCAAAATTTTGATTTCTTTTGCTTCTATGCTGCGCTCTTGATGCTGCTGTTGTGTCGATGGCGGTAGCGCGCTGCGTTAGTTGAGTCAAATTTGCTGGGAGCGTAGTTCAAATAGTTGGCAACGCAAAAGTAAGTTTTTTGTTGAAGTGCTATATTCGTGTAAAACGACGACGAAATGCTTGCTGCTGCGATCGATTTATCGATTTTTGGTATACGTATTTGTATGTGTGAATGCAACTTTTATTACTGCTGCTTAGCCTTTTTTCGGTATTTTATTTATATAAATTTTACGCTTGGTAAAATTGCGCGATAGATACACTTTATCTGTTTGATTTTACACACGTTGTTTTAAGAAATTCTGCACGCTGCTGTTGTTTCTGTAAAATTAAATAAAAAAAAAATATTGGGATATTATTAACTGGCCGTAAGCACATTCAATATGTTGATTACTCAATTTTTCGAGATAAGAAATAAAATTCGGATAAATTGTTCATATACATGTAGCTAACTTTCATGCAAAAAATAGATATATTTTCGTCTTTTCCCACAGTTCTATTCTTTCGAGTATATGTATGTATACAGTGTCGTTGCACGCACACACACTCTCACTAATAATAATACACTTGCACGCGATTTTTAGACAGCTATTACTTTTCTGTATCCATGAGATATATGTAAATGTATATATATTTTTTTTAATTTTTGCTTTGCTAGTTTAGCTTTCCGGTGCGAATTTTAAGTTATTACGCTATTCCTTAATTAATATAAAAATTGTTCATATATATTTTACATTTTTTTTTTGCTGAAGATTATAAAAAATGTTAAGCTACAACCTAATTGTGTATGTATAACACTACAAAAAACCCTTCAGGTCACTATTGGTGTTTCGTTATAACGCCCGTCAAATCACTACCATTCACATCCACTTTGCTTGCTGCACTGTACATACGGAGCAGTAGAATTGTGAAAAGGAGAATTTCCTTTGCGCGCTGCGCAACTGTGGCTTTGCTTCTTTCAATCGATATATCCACGGTTGAGGGTTTCTAGTAGGTATATTTAGCTCATTTTTCTACAGTTGGCTTGGCTATTGCTGCTACACCCTTTTTTCATTACATGCTCCGTTCGCACTGGTTTTCCCTCAGCTTTTCCACTTTAGCCGCACACAACAGTGGAGTTTAATGAACTTTGCACACACGCGTTCAATTAGAAACGCTACCATATAAAATATTAGACAATTTCCGTTTTCTTATACATATATAAAATTATGATTATATATAGATTTTAATCGTTATTTCGTTGTACATTAACTGTTCCATCAAATCAAGGGTTTTTCACTAAACCCCTTTATAGCTTTTCCAAAAAATTGTCTCTATTCAACACAGAAAATATGTATAATTATATCTATATATGTATGCGAGTATGCGAATACTGGCATAATTAGTTGCCGTCGTGTCGTGTAACTAACGAATTCGCTTTTGTAGTTCTTATATTTTTAGCACTTTTTACTTTTATACCACGATTTCGGTTGTTTCGTGAATAGCTTTTTTATTTTCTATGTCTTTTATGTATACTAAGTTAATGCTGCTTTGGATTATTTTCTTACTTTTTTTATATTTGCACAACTAAGACAAAACAATTTTACCCGACAAAAGATCTATTAACGGCGAGCGTACGAATTCAAGTGAAGAACGAAATTCACAGATACGAGAACTGTAGCTACGAATTGTTGGGAACGAACACAAAGCAGCGGCGCGACTTCAACAGCACAGTGCACGCCGACGTCAGCTTTTGCACGAAGCGCAGTTAACTGCGATGCCATAATTGACTTTGTGCGCATTCGGGGCTGCCGGTTTTTTGTGTTCCCTCTCGATAGGAGAAAACTGAGAAAATTATTACAATAATTTTCCTTTTAAAATAAAATTTGTGCGTATGTATGTACATACATATGTACAGTATTCATTTCATCGGCTGTTAAAGGTTTACCATTTTCTTGCTTAAAATGGCCGACGCTTTGTAGCCTGACCAGAAATAGCCTATGTATGTATTTATGTACATACATGGAATGTTTGTATGTATGGTAAAAGAAAATGCTAGATGTTTATAAAAAAAAAACATTTTATATAGATATGAATACATGCATGTATGTATGTGGAATTGTCAATTTATCCTATAGCAAATTTGGGAGGGCCTGGACTTTAGGTAGCGAAGGAAAAGTTTAACAAAATGATAATTACGATTTTTGCAGAATATAACTTTAATTAATTCCACGAATTCCGCTCAACTTTCTTAATTTCATAAGAACATTTTCTTGAAAATAAAAAACACAACAAAAAATTTAGCGTCTTGATGATCAAGAAAAATTGTGCTGCACGAGCAGTTGGAAATTTAATTTCGGAAAGCATTTTACAGATAAATGAGTGCAATCACACACTGCAATTTTCCTTTATGCAATTATAAAGAAAATTAAGTTGAATATATTAGTATCAGAGTGTTCATATGATGCAATCTTCTGGGTGTGAGCACACCTTTTCATTTAATAAAATTAAAAATTAGGAGAATTTCATTGGCAAAATAGTTGTCTCAAATTATAGCCCCTGCTGAGCATTCTCCAGCTGGGGTAAATGTATTTGTAGACTTCTCTATTGGGAATTTCGCAAGAGAAACGACAAATTGCACGTTAACGACCAGAGAGGCGCAGTTAACGTTTCCCGACGCCGCTACCAAAGTCAACATTGACGACACAACTACAATCGATTTCCGACTTTGCTGCAGGGAAAAGCAAATTTACAATGCGAAAAGGGAGTTTTAACAACGTAAAAGCTTCCGCCCTACTTCGCGCACGCACGGAATGCAGGAAAGAGCTGGTATACATACATACATATTTATACCGCTTGGAGAGGATAGAGAGGTCGTCAGCCGCTTTATAGCGAGCAGAAAACAGATACCTCCATACATTTTTAAGTATGTACCTACGCACACAGTCACTGGTGCTCTCTTACACACTCTGCGAGAGGTTTTTACCAAATACATACTGTACAACAACAGCAGAAAAAATATAAGATCTTCCAATGTTACAATGCTGAACTACAGGGTGGTCGATTGTTTGCACAGTTAGCACTATGGAAATATCGAATTGTGTAAATAAGAAAGGTGGTAGTAAAGTAAGTGCAGAATAGAGGTTCAAACACCCCCTTAAGGGTTGTAAAGCCTGATTTGTTTCGCATGAGTTTTATTTACATCCGGCGCATGTGTCGGAAACGACGGCGGCGGCGGTGTCACGATTTTAACAAATCTTTTGCTAAGCACACTTGTATTTGTAGATATGTGGGCATGGATGTACATATGTATTTGAATGCGTACAGTGTTGGTCCTATAAATGAGAAACGACTATTCATTATTATTTCGCAGATTTTAGGATTAACAGGCCTATTCTTATTGTTACCGGTAAAGTCAATTTTGTTACTTTTTTTTAACACCCGAAATAGAATTTGGTATTCTGGCGAGCCTGTTACAATGTTTGAAAAAAATTTGGCAGCACTGCTTTTTTTGTCCATTGCAAATTACATTTGCCAGTTGATAAAGTAAAAAGAAAAATATTCACATCGAAATGGAAAACGGTGCACAAAAAAATTAAAAACTTTTATTAATATGTTTATTAAATCATAAATATTTGAACCTAATTGTGGAAAATATGCCTGGACGAAAAAAAAGCTGAATGAAAACGTTATCTTACAAATTAAAGGACTATTTTTTAGTCTCGAAAACTTTCCGAAATACGGTTTTTTGCACTTTTTTCTTAATCTTCAATGAATTCCAGGTCTAAAATATGCCTACCCATTTTGGTTTTTTATTTTTTCTCAAACTTACAACACAAAATCAAACAGCAGATATTTTTGTTACCTCCTATTTCGCTGGTAACAAAATTTACAGGGTAACAGTGAGCTCAGAATACGAAATGGTAACAAAATTTACTGAATGGTAAATTTTAATACCTAGGTAAATTTTGTTATCTTGACAGAATAGGCACTTTTTCTTCATCTGCAATGAACTCCAAGCATAAAATATGCCTACCCATTGTGTTTTTTTTTTTCACACAAAATCGGACCGATGATTCTTTCCTCAAGCACGAGGAATTTTAAAACAAATTAAAATGCACTTACCGAAATTACAATTAGCGCTATAATTTTTACTTCTGATACTATGCCCGCTCACTTCAGCGATTACAATGATATGATGTCTACGTATGGGATCCAGGCAGGATAAACTCTGTTCGAAAGTAAACGATGCATCTCTGACTTCATTTAATAATACTTTCACCCGGTAAATTTGCTGTAGCTTGAACCAGCTAGATTTGAACCTGGTTTGGGTCGCAGAAATCCTTAACAAAAACATCAAAGCCCTAGCCGACAATACAGCTGCTTTCCGGGAGTCTGAGCCCTAAATCCCTATCGTTTCACACCCCTTTTCCTTGGGTTCGAATTGGTCGATTTAACAGTTAAAAGGCTTCGATAGAATCGGTTTTAATTATAACACTACCGTTGTATTATATGATTATGTATGTAAATTTAAATTATTATTTTATAACAAATAAATGCACGCACAAAAGTAGAGGGTGGATTGGTGGCAATGCTATAAGGGTACAAAAATAAAAAATGTCGTGGAAATATTGAAGCGGGTGTGCGACCGCGCCGTATGACAAGTAAAATGTACAATAGTTCAATACATAGTCTAGAGAAATATGTAACATTTTGCGTTACATTATATACAGATATACACGCATACATACTTATGTATGTAAATGCACGTATGCAAACATACAGATGTATATGTATATGTATATGTACAAGGCGTTAAATCACAAAGACACAGGGCATTGTGCATAAAACACGATCATATATACATACATACATCCATACATACATATAAGTATATTTACGTGAGGATAACAATAGTAGCTCTACTGCACTAAAGAAAAAACACAGCTGTGACTAATTACTCAGCCACATCAATAAAGGGAACGCTTTGCAATTTACCTTATTATAAAATTCGCGATCAATTCAATTGAATCGCTTCGATACTATTAACAGGCATGATTTATTGGCGTATATCAAAATGTATGTAGACGTTGGGAGTTTTATGCACTAAACAATAATCAACCACCACCACGCGTCAATGCCCGAACGAACACACTATCATATATAAATTATATATGTATGTACACACATACATATATACTTAAATAAGTCCAAGCACGACTTATTCAAAGTTTCCGTTTCCGCACTTACACGTATGCAGATGTTGTGTACACTTTTAGCAGACAAAACGGCGACGTCTTGTACCTACAAAAACCACAACAAAATTTGCAATTCGATACAATTCTCATGATGTTTGTCTGTTTGCACTTACTTAGTACTTCAGAAACGCAGACTTTGTTTGTTCCCTTATCCCCCCTTTTCATAGGCATACATACTTACATACATATATTTATGCTCATTTATTTGAATACGTAAGTTTTTTATGTTATCATTTGTTTTTGTCATTTAGTTGGGCTTTTTTTCATTTCGAAGGTTATAATCGAATTCTTGACATTTTATTACGGCACATGAAAAATTATCGATTAGGTACATTATTTATCGAATATCAATAAGCCTTGCTTGCTGTACACACCATGAGTTAAAATTATCAAATTAACTTTTGTCATTTGTGCGGCACAGCAAAGACATGAGCAATACAACAGTTTCAGTTGCGTTCAAAGTGAAAATGGACGGTTTATACTGTTGCCGAAATTGGGAGCCTACGTGTTTATAATTGATTAGTCCACAATTTACATGAAACAGCAAACCTGTGTTTTTGTTCCTTATTTTCGCTGTTGTAATTCATTTCATATATATGTATGTATATACAAACGTACACATACATTTGAGTTTTTGCAACATATCAAGTACTCCAAGGAAACCCCACAAAATTATTAAAGCTGTCTGCTCGTCCACGATTGCTCGCTTTTTATTTCAACAAAAGGGCAGAGGCAAAACAAAAGACTAAAAGTTGCTTGTAACTTGAGTCGCTGTAGTGTAGGTCAAGTAAAGGGCAAATAATATGAATGCTACTGAAATGCACGCTTCATGCAAATATTCAAGTAGGTTTATCCAAAGCGGATATACATAAGTGTCATTATTTTTCTGTATATGTATAGTTGACATTTCCGGTAGCTAAAATCGACATTTACATCGCGCAGGATCAATACTTATTAACTTTACCAGTGTGTAGTTTTGCTTTTAAGCACCACTTGTCGAAGTTTCAAGAACTGCGCCAGCTTAAACGCCCAATCAGTCACGAACTCTCCACAAATAGTTACTGGGAAAATTCATCGGCCCAAATTGTTTAACACGCTGATATTCATATAATATAGTTCATAATATAAAAAAAACCCTCAGAGCTGCAGCTATGTATTCTTTTATTACATATGTATATTCATTGCTCCTGGTGAGGCTTGTTTTTCGAATTTCGAAGTATTTCGTTAAAGAAATTGTTAACAAATTTAATTAAATTAAATAAAAAATTAAGTTAAATTTCCTAATTTCTGTCGCCCCTCAGCAAGGAATGTCAAGCCCTCCGAATGTATTTCTGATATGAAATAAAGTTCCTCATAAGAAAACCATCAGCCGTTCGGAGGCGGCTTAGTATAAACTGCAGGTCCCTCCATTTGTTGGAAAAACATCAAGACGCAAAACCACAAATTGGAGGAGGAGCTCGGCCGGAATCGCTTCACCGGTTACAAAGCGCCAATTATATATTTTTCTTTCAAATAGCTAAAAATCAGAGGTAGAAAGTACTTATCACAACCTTTTTGAAGTTTTCCATTTTGATTCTTTGAAATTTGAGGATGAATTAAGAATAGAAATGACCCATGTGAACAAAAAGATGAGAGATGGCCAACATTTGGAGTTGCGTTGGTATATTCACAATAGATAACCAAGTATCCCTTTGAATCATTTGTTAGAAAAGTATATATGCATATGTATATTTTAAAGAAAAACTAGTTCGTTGCGGCTAATAGGTTCGCAAAACGTGATTTCAAAGAGACCAAGCAGCTGGTATTCTTCTTAACTTCTAAAGCTGTAATGCATTACTAATCATTAAATATTTACAAAATGGCCACGCATACAATATGCTGTAAGCTACCCTTAACTTATGCAAATATGACGTAAACAAAACTTACAAAATATATATGTATGTACCAATACATACATATGTATGTACATATGCCTGCTATTACATATAGAAAATGATTTGTTTTATGCATAAAAATACATATGCTCATACATATATATGTATGTATGTATGTATGTATGTTTGTATATATGTATAAAGGTGTTTGTAAACTAAAGCGGCGGAACCCAAAAAGTCAGGCGATTTTGTGTAAGCAAAATTGCTTAGAAATTAATAAAAAAAAAATGTGTGCATATGTATGTATGTAAGAACAACCCTCCAGCTTTATACTACGCTTCAAAAAATAATATTTATAGGAGGTAGTGAAAAATGTATAGCAGAAAAAGGAAACAATGAAAAAATGCACTTACAACAATGCACACATGAATAAACGGCACGTTACCTACTTACAGGGTGGACGTACATAACTAGGCCGCAAAGCACCGTTAAGCCCGTCAGAGCATATGTATGTATGTACATATGTATACATACATATATGTACTACCCCTCTTTATTCACGTGACCTAAGAACAGCAGCCAAATGCCAGCCTAGAATTTTGTATAGATAGCCTCAAGTCGCCGTTCGCTGTGCTGGAAAATTAAGTACCCTCGAAGCAATTACACGACTTGCAAGTTTGCACGTAAAAATATATATACATATGCATTTATGTACTTTACAACGCTTCCAGACGTTTAGATTCGTTGAACTTTTTAAATTTCCCAGCGACAAATTGTAAAGTCTTGAAATCGAACCGGTAGCTTGTAAAACTATATCTCCGATGTGTGCATGTATAAGGCTATTTAAACCCAGTTTCAAATAATACAAAACAAATAAACATATGTATGTATATGATTTTTTTATATTTTGCATGTGTATATTTTCTATTTTCCTTTGAAAGTGCTTATATGTATGTATTTGCTTTCGTGAATTTTTCAAAATGAACAAACATTTTCTCTTCACTTCTAGAAATTTCAAACGTTCCAAAAAATTCAATATGGTTTTTTTCACACATACATATGTTTACCCATCTGCTTACATACTTACTTATGCATTTTCTAAACCAATTCTAGTGGTGCATTTTGTTACGCCCAACAATAATGCAAATGCTTAGTTCTCGATCCAGAGGCGAAAATATTAAATCGCCGAGATCTTGCCATTTGTTTATAAAGTTTTTTCTTTTAATTGCTAACAAATGCCAGCATTTACTTATTTACATACCTACATATAGTCGCATAAAATACAAAATTATTCCTGATATCTTTGAGCACAATTTTGCTAAGCTGCATTTGATTGACTATGACTAACGGATTAACAAAGCCGGTCTGAATATCACTACTAAAAACCAAAATTTTCCATTTAATCCTTAAAAACTAAGTTATTTTTAAATTTTTTAAATTCTTCTTGCTTGCTTTATTATCATTCACAATGAATTCCACACTAGAATTACTAAAGGCGATTGCAGATAGAACTTTTTCAATGCCACACGTTGCAAAGTTGAAATAAAAGAGCACATTGGTCCTTTCTCTTTTTTTGGTTGGTAAAATCCCGTAAACATCGCAAACAGTCAGCTGTAGTATTTTTGTTAGCCTATTTGTGACCTGAAAAAATTATAATAAAATCTAGAGTTAGTTATTCATTTGCATATTCGATTGTACATAAGTGAGCTAAATTGTGCATATATATTTACATATTTTCACAAGCATAAACGTAAACTTCTTAGGAAGCTGTGTGCTGCGAGTTCCATCCTTCTGGCCAGTTATATCAAGGCTTTAACTTCTAAGTAACTTCTAACCACAACTCTGTCTAACCCAATTTCTTCAAAAAGTATATTTTCACTCTTTTTTATTTTTTTAAATATCCTCTTTTTTGTAATAAGTCATGTTTAATATCACTGTTTAGTTGAAATTAATTAATTTATTTCAATTTAAGCAATAGACTAGTCAAATGAGCTGACTGTAATATACTATTGTGAACAGTTAAACGAGCGAAATTGACAATAGGAAACTAAGAAAATTCGTTCGATCATCGTCGAAGAAATAAAAAATAGCTTATAGTCTATATTCTATGCTATAAAATATTTTAAATGTCCTTAATTTCTGCATATACATATTTATGCATTTATAAATTTGTCCGAAAAAAAATTTTACACACTTATGTATGTATGCTCACGTCTTTTTTCTAATTTTTACTTTCAGTTTGGCCGCCGATCAGCTTGTATATATTGGCTTAAGGGACATTGACCCGTACGAAGCATATATCCTTAATAAATTGGGCATACGAGCGTTTGCCATGGATGTAAGTATATTTTATTACTATGTGCACAGGCGCACATATGTATATATGCATATGTACACGTATGTATGAATATTTTTTGTGCACTTGGCAGAGTACAGCGGGTAAATTTCTTTGAAAAGTCGATGATGTAGTTAAAACCAAATAATTCCTTTACCAATTGCAGAAATAATGCATGCAAAATTAAGGCATAATATGTACTTTTGGAAGATGGGAGAAGATTACAGCAAACCTTTAAAGATTGCATTATATGTTTATACATATAGCATTATTTTTGTCAACTTTGAGTCAGTTGGCTAGACGGTCATTGGACTGGAATCGAGGGTGTATATTTTCATGTATTATACTATGTACATGCCGTGTATGTACTGAGTATGTATGCGTTTGTAATATTTATTTATTTATGTTGTTACAAAACTTGTTTTCGACAACGTTGTTACTTTCACTGCCGTGACAACAGCAGGAATAGAGGATCAATTTACTCATAACTCACTGCAGACATTGTAGCGATCATTGATATCCTTGTGGAAAAATTCACACATAAGCATATATAATATATATATATATATTACATGCTTCCCGCAACCCAGCAAACATATTTACTTGCTGGTAGCATAAAAATCTATGGGTCTGAAATTATTTTCTCATTCATATAAAAAAAAGCCAATTTTGATTGAAAATTTAAATTAAATAAAATTTGACTTTAATTTTATTTTTTGTAATTTACGTATTTAACTTCCGATAGATAGTTTTTGTATTGTAATATGTGAAAGAAAAAAAGTTCCTCGCAAAATCTTCCCCTGAAAAAGTAGGAATGAAAATAAATTCTGACTTCAATGATCAAGATTTAAACGTAATTGTGATAAGGAAAATTATAAAATTACAAAAGTGGAATTGACCAACGCGAATGACTCATTTATGACTACAAAATTTTACTGGTATATCTATGTGTGTATTTATTCTTACATACATACATACATACATTTGTGTGTACATATGATGTTGTGCAACCCTTGCAGTGAGTGTCTTACACCTCTGCCGTTTCTGGACTTACAATACAAGTTCAACGATGATAACGATAGTGGTGGGTTGCCTATATTTATATATGTATATGTATGTATACATATGTATATAAATTTGTTTGTACAAAGGGTGCGTGCTTTGGATTGAGCTGAGCATTCAAGAACATTAATTTTTATAGTGAAGTATAAAAGAGTACCAAAATACGACACAGCGCACGAAGGTAAATTTTATAATAAATGTGTGTATGTCCATATGCCTCAATGCATTTGCAGGCCATTTAAAGTCCTTTTTCCTGCCCATCAATCGTTAGAGGGTCGCCAGTGCACTGAAGCCTTAGAATTTCATATGTATGTATTGAATTGATATTGTTTAATCATTTATTTAGGAGACGTTGAAAATTTTTAACTATTTTTCTATTGTTATTTTTGTTATCCTTTGGCCATTTTTATTTTTAACAATGAAAAATGTGCCTTCTAAGTTAAATAGCCTCGTACATATGTAAATATATGTAACTGTAAACGCAAAAAAAAAACACACACACATACAGTCTCATATTGAAATCAAAAAATCCAAATTTATTATGAAAAATATTACAAATGGCGAAATTTCAGTGGCTTCAACTTCTGATACGTTTGAAACCTTTTGCCCTTTTTTAACAAAGTACGAATCTTTTTTTAAGCTTATAAAAAATATCGATTTTCTGAATTATTAATTTCATTCCAATTTCATAAATTTGTATTTAATTTTACATTTCAGTCGAAAATATTATTTTCTTTTTAAATTTTAACAATTAAAATTAACAAGCTATTGTGAACAACCCAGGCAGGTATAATTCGCAATAACTCCGTTCCTAATTGAATTTGCGCAAGTCCGTCCAATTGGCACTTTCGATTACAAAGTATTTGCAGCAACAATAACTTTTTGTAATTTAGTTTTTAAGCCAGCGACAATATACTGTTAACTAAAAGGTCTGTCCAAGAAGATGAACAGATAGATTTTATATTTTCGTAATTTTCAAAAATATATATAATTTTTTCAAAAATTTAACTAAAACTCGTGATTTTTTTTTATATTTTGAGCTTTAATTACGCTTTTTGACATAAAACAAGCACAAGATGAAAAATTGGATATTACAAAGAGACATTTCTAAAACTTCCGAAGGAGGAAATGATGAACTTTTGAAAGAAGGTGCTAATGCGATAAATGCACTGTATCCCTAATCAAAATACCCTATGAATTCGATCGTAATTTAGAATATTTAATACGGCATTTCTATGATAGCCCAATTACGTGTTTCGCTCTCTCAATTACGAATGCGAATTACTCCCATACACACGGCACGCAGTTTGACAGTTTTCGGTTTTGTTTGTTTGTTCCATTTGAAAACGGATGGAAAATGAAAGATTTTGGTAGAAGTTAAAAAATCTTAAATTGAATTGGTAATGTAATGCCAGTTTCTTTAATATTTCTAATTTTTTCTTCTTTATCATACAAATAGTCTTTAGTTTCGAATCAATGTTTGTGTGTTAGTGTCTTCTTTTATGATTCTCCTCTCTTTCGTTTAAATTTGTCAGCTAGTTTCGATAAAATTTCGATAAGAATTAGAGAAGGCATCGAATTTAGAACGAACAACCAACTTTTACCGTAATTCGCTCCCGAAAATTTGTATGGCGAATTAAATAATTCGGCATGTATTTGAAGTGGGAATTACGATTGAGAGAGCGAAATACGTAATTGGGCTGTCGTGGAAATAACGTAGACTAATCCAACATGTATGTAAACCGGAAGTGACATATGAAGTGGTAACGTAATTTTGGTTCGGATAAGGGCATTTCAAAAACGATGGTATAAAAACATGTCACACAATAAAGGGTTAAATGGAAGTTGAGTGATTAATTTGCACAATTTTAATTGTGAAATGTAGGCAAACTTGAGTTCTTACTGACAATAAGTCCAGCCTTGGTTGAAAATTTTGTTTTCGTCATTTACATGTACATATGCATGTATGCACTAACATCTATAATTTTTCGTTTTTTTTTCTCTTCTTCTTGCAGTCTGTGGACAAATATGGCATTTCAAAAATCATTGAGCGTACTTTGGATTCACTGAAGCCACAAAATAAGATACATGTCAGTTTTGATATTGATGCGTTGGATAAGACTGTGGCGCCCAGCACCGGCACCGCGGTGTGCGCGGGTCTCACATTGCGTGAGGGCATTTCTGTAGTGGAAGCGTTACGTGATACAAATCGTGTGCAGGGCATCGATTTGGTCGAGTTAAATCCGAGCCTGGGTAATGAACAGGATGTAAAGACGACGTTAGCGTCGAGTTTGGAGATATTGAAGAGTATATGTGGCTATAAGCGTAGTGGAAATTTCGCCAATATAAAAATGGATTTATTTGAAACGGTGGAAAATTAATTAAGCAAAAGAAATATAAAAATTTACATTATGCATATATAGTACATGTATATATGTATATGTATTTACATATATTAAAAATTGTACGTATGTACATAAGCTTCCATTTATTATATACATACATTATATGTTTAAGTAATATAAAGAAATACAAATGCTTTAATATAAATTATTTGATGTATGTATGTATATGCATATACATATGTACATATGTATGTATGCATGTATATTTTTTAGTATTTTAAAATGCTAAATTCGAAATATTGAATAAAAATTTTGTATGTACACAAATAAATCAGGTATTTTTTTAAATTAATTATGTACATACATACAAACATACGCATTTAATTTTACAGCGTTTCATCGAGAGCAATCGGTATATAAGTTGGTGTTATGCCCGTTGTGGACATACTGTTCGCCGTATTTATGAGATTATTTGAAATTTGTTTATTTGTTTGCGTTATATTTGGGCGGACACCACCACTCATGGGTTCCACATTTTTTATGTCCTTTTTTGGCATTGCTGTTGTGGCTACTGCAGGCGATGGTAGCTGTAGGTGTTGCGGCGACACTATGAAGATGATTAACCGCCGTGCAGATAGTATAAGAGAATTTAAAATGCCTGCAAGACGTAATATTTATAAATGTATATATATATATATATATATATAAATTAATAATTTTAATGCATTTATGTACCTGAGATAATAATTATGCCAGCAATGATTGAGCATAGACGTATGATGAACTGTAAAAAATTATCACGATCGGTACGAACGATGATCTTCAAGGCTGACCAATCGTATTTGAAATAGATGCCAGGTGACCCGTAAGAATTCTTTGCCGAATCTAATGTGTGAACAAAGTTAAATTATATAAATTATTAAATATTTTCAGCACGCATTAGCATATATACAATTTATTTGTGAATGAACTCGCGCTAACTGACACTTTTTATTGCTTTTCTTCTTCTTTTTTTTTCTAACTAAAATACACATGCAGATTTGTGGTTTGAAAAAAACAGTCAATTAGTGTTTTGCTTATTTACATACCTAATTGTCGAACGTTTTCCGTCACCGAATACTGATACGTATTAATGGTATTGAACGTGTTATGTATTTCGGTTGGTACAATTTTCAAAAAATATTGTACTGTTGTATCCTCATCGGGTACTAGTGTCTCATCACCCTCCAATGGTTGCACTATGCGTCGAGAATATTGTCCAAAACTTAAGCGATTGATGCGATGTGTAAAATTGGCCGGCGTACGGCGGAAATCAATTGTCCAGTGATCTTCGAATAAACCCACAAATGGTTGCGCACCGCCAACCAAGTGTAAAACACCGGCGACCTTTAAACATACATATGTATATATATAAGCTTATGCGAAAAAAAGAAAATAGCCAAACTAAAAGTTAGATGTCCGAGTATAGATTTTGAGAAATTAAAAAAAAAAAATTTTATTTCGGTTTTTGTTTTTGTAAAAGTGCTGTTTAAGAAAGAAAAGACAATAATAATTAATTACTGTAAATATAAAAACGAACCAAAAGCCGTTTTTACAACTTAACTTTTTCAGACCACTACTTCCACAATCCTTTGGTTAATTATTTATTTATATGTATCATATGTATGTACATATTGCATATTGCCGGACTCTCGTGTTATGCACTCTTATTCTTCGTAATTAATTTATTTATTTTCGCACAATAATATTTATTTATATAAAAATAATTTATTATTTACATACAGAAATTTACGATTTAAAACCGAATTTGCATTCGTTACATAAAATATATAATTACATAGCATATAAATTAAATATAATAATGAAAATAAATGATTTCATGCTTTATAATTTCGGATTTTCAAATAGCGGCCCTCTAGATATCTCTATATCTGAATATGGCTGCGTCTGTGCAATGTTGAGCGCGCGAAACTTTTTCAACACCAACAGTGAATAAAACTTTTGTGCCGCCTGTTTACGACTATTATTTACAGTTAACGCTGATAATATTAAGCAATCCTGCTTGATTAAACGTGATTTAACAGTATAGAATAATTGTGCCGCTCGCTTGTTGAGTACTCGTTCCTCGAATTGTTCATCGGTTTCATTTTCTAATTGCTCCTCAGCAGGATTAGCTTGTTGTTGCGGTAAATCATAGTCATTCCAATCGGTTGATATATCACTGGTGCGTTGCATTTTATTTGTCTGGTTGTCTTGCTGCATATTTGGCATGTTTTCAGCTTCTTGGAGTATAGATGAAATCTGATCAGCTGGTAGACTTGGTAAGTTTTCGATATGCTCTATTCCGGAATGATGCGGTGTTTGGTCTCCGTGATGTAGACCCGCAGGCGTCGCATCGCCGTGATTGAAATCATCCGAGGCATCGATGCCGTGATGTATGTTGCCGGGCGTTAGAGGTAAGTCGTTGAGTGCTGTTAAGTTTTCCAGGCCATTTATATCATTTATACTTAACATACGACTGGGACTGCGCATATTGTCGAATAATGAACTCTCTGCCGGTGGTATCAGATTTTCGGCCAATGAGAATTGACCTTGTGTACCAGTATTTTGTTCATGATCACGCACTGGTTCAGGTGGTGCTAAACTTTGTGTGGTTACATCTGCAGGGGCTTGTTGTTCTGCTTGTAATTCTTGTTTTCGTTTACGTCCACGCTTATTATTATTGATTATGTTAGCATCGTTCTCATTTTGTATATGCTCTATAGCTAACAAATCGGATGGGCCGAGTATGGAGAAGTCTTCAAGTGGTGAGACGCGTGAAACTAAATGGCGATGATAATTTATGAATAATGCTCTCGCTGGTATAGTTCTAGATGGTAAAGAGAAGAGTTTTTCCACACCCCCTGTTTCCTTCCAATAGGTTAATCTTTTGGTTGGTGGTGCCAAATCTAATGTCGTAACTATATCTGTCGTATTAGCCAGTTGTGCTTTCATTTCTTCGCCAGATATATTTTTTACTTCGTCAACAATAAGTTTACGTTTGCGCTTGGCTTTGGTCACACCTTTGTAAGCCGAAGCATCTATTGGTGCCAATGCAAAACTTTCGTCTTCGTTTTGCAACAAAGTTGATTGATCTAGAGGATTTTCATCTTCCTTTGAACTATCCAATACTTCATTACACACATCTTTATGTGCCTCTTTCTCAACTTCATTGGTCTCGGACGCATGTTCACAACTCGATGCGACTGATGGTGGCCTTATATCCATATGGTCCATACCCTCATCATCAGATTCTTGTGCAGCACCGATTGCAGCTTTCAAATTATTATCGCTTGTATCTAATGGCGGTTCAGCGAATAAATCGTCTTCAAAAAGTTCCGGTTGTCCAAATTCATCACCGAAACCATCGCCATCTAATCGGGAATTAGCCAAATCTGAGTCATTTAAAGTTATTTTGGGCTCATCAACTAAAGTTACATCGGCCATTCCGCCTTCACCGAATAATTGATCATCTATATTGGAATCTATAGGACCACGTATCAAATCCGGTGTATCACCTTCAAATCCCATATCACCAAAACCGTCATCATGTATGGACAAGGATAAACTACCGCCATAGTCTTCACGCATAGTTATTTCATCTGCTCTTGATTGATTTATTGCAAATTGTGCTTCAATATCAATATCATTCAACTCGGGCAAGGCTGTGTCGAAATCATGAAATACCTCTGGCAGAGTAATTGCATTCACATTTGCCTCTCTATGTCCTTCGGGTAGATCAACCATGCCCGGCCTGAAAGCCATTTTAATCTTAACAAATGCTTCATTACAATCGGCCAACAAATATTTTGCTTTCCTCGAGTAAATTCTAACGACGCCCAGAAGTAAATGACCAGAGGTGCGAAGCGCCAATTTTACTTTTGGTTGCATTATGCCTTCCACAGACTTCTCAATATTCGTTTCAAACACATGCGCTTTTGTTATTTTCTTATCCCAATGAGCAGCTAACCACACCCGGGCTAAGGGGCCTTTTTTGGCCAAAATTAAATGTGCGTAAAACATATTTTTTATACAATTTTATGAGATATGCCACAATTAACCAAACATTTCTTTACAGCTTTCTTTTTAGATTACTTTTGTGGCAGTGCTGCCAACTTGTATGAAGCTGTATTTTTTCATTTATTTTGATGTGTGTATACGTTAATGCCACTTAATCCGGCAAAAAAATGTATGACTAACGTAAATTAATATTTGAATATTTCTATACATGCAATTCTTAACTGGAAAATTATACAAATAAATATTAGTAAATAAATTGTAGTTAAGATTTTTTTTATTATCCATAAACCTAAAATTATATTCATCACACTTTTTTTTCAGACAAACAAAAAATCTACGGTTTGATTGATAATAATCAAATACACCTATTTTGCTAAAAATAATAATTACCATGTTTTGTTTCTATGAAAAATACATATTTACTTATTTTCAAATAACCAGTTCGGTATACATATTTGTTTTAGTGTCGAAATAATTTTAAGCTTCTTTCTCTGTTTTTACAAAAATTAGGGGCAGCACTTCGCATTGCCAACCATCTCATTATTATATATTGCCAGCAGGGCTGTCGATGTAGGTAGTTATTCCAATTGTTTAAAGTTTAAGGAGGTTCAAAATATTGAAATTTGGCCGCTAAAAGATTTACACTGTATTTTTTTTAATGCAAAGTGTTTGCTTATGACAAAATTAGACAGCTTTGAGGAAAGAGATTATTATATTCATCCTTAGTTTTGCTTTTATTGTCGAATAAATATAATTAATTGACTTCGTGAATCTAGCTACATAGTTATATATATAATATGGTAGCTTACCTTATTTATACCCAATGTTCCATGTAAGCGACAAGCATCATATTTCTCCTCGGGCAATGGTTTGATATTCCTCAGTGGTTTTGTATGTTTCTCATTACTTTTGATTATATCCTTAAAAAGAATGTCAGCGACAGAATGATATTCTTCACGTAAGAATGTGTTCATATGCTGCATTCGTTCGTACTGAAGACGCTCTTCTTCGGGAAGTACCCACCAAGCACCTTCTCGTTGTAAAGTACCATAAGCAAAGACATCCTGTTGAGTCTCATCCATAAGATCAACACCAGAAAGAGCTGGGAAACAATGAATTTAGTATCAATATTGAATTATATGCATACATATCCATAAGTTTGTAAAGCTTACATGAACATGGCATGGCAACTGTAATGTCGACATGCATTTGCACTTTATCGTCCATATCAATATCTGGCTCAAATTGATATATAAGATTGGCTTCCCTGTAATAGCACACCTCCTTGTAAATGAGGTAAATAATAAGCAGACGGCTGATCAAAGATACTATCGGGAATAGTGATGAACGTTAGCCAAATCGGAGTAGGGCCATATATGCATAATAAAAGGAGAAGCATACTTAACTTTATGCACTAATACTTACATGTACCACCGATTTCGGTTGTTTCCGTATATTTATCCGGTACTTTTTTGAATGCATCCAAATTTTTAGCGATTTCAATAAGATTTTTTTTATCGCCACGATAGCGAATTGTGGCTGTCATTTTAGTCAATATTTAATTAGTGCTATAAGATTTAGACAATATTTAGTGTTTACAGACCCAAATTATCCATGCAGGCTTTTTTGGCGTTTTCTCTGCATCAGCTGTAGCATGAAAACATTACGTGGTTGGCAACAGCTATGGAACTCATGTGTTGCCAAATACTTGTGTAATTACTTACTAATCTTATATTTTTAGTTTTGTTTTCGAATAAAAATTTAAAGGAGTGCAATAATGGCAATATATTTTTTGTAAAATTTTGCATAGTATTTATTTTTTACATATTCATATATATATATATATATTGTTTTTTATTATTATAGCATATCGAATGTTGTTATGGTAGCACCGATTTATGTTGGCAGTAGTGTTCAGTAAATGCAGCTGCGCCATTTTGTTAAAGTGAATGCTTCTTTGGTAGAGGATTTTCTTTCCGTATGCCAAAAAATCAATCTCTCTTTGGGCATTAGCTTGTGAGTTTATTTGTGTAAGTTGTTTTCGAAAAAACTATATTAATGGCTGCTAACTGGATTAAAATAACTGAAAGGTAATACAATATTAATAATACGTTCATATCTTATATTATTTGTAAAGTTTGTATATGCGATTTTTTTTGCATAATATGCAAGGAAATATTAAAAAAAAATTGATTTTTAAATATGAATTATTTGTATTCTATATAGGGCCCGAGAGGGCATACAAATTATAAATAGTCTGCCTTTTGATACATTCACAACGGTATTAAATTTTGTGCATCGGCAAATGATACCGGTTGCAACTGAAGATGTATTAGAGCCAGAAAACGCCCTTGAAGAATTGGAGCGTTTAGTTGGTGTCCCACGTGCTGATTTTTTGCTTATGATTAAAACATTTTCCTATATTTTGAGACGTACTTCTACTTTCGTAATAAAACCAACACGTCTACATGCTGAGCTAAGAGAAAAGCTGCAATTTGCGGATGATGCCAAAATCGATGCAATTGTAAGATTATGGGTACGACAAACTACACCTATTATGAATAGCTTGGCATGTGAGCGGTATGAATCGAATGAAATACATGATGTGGCATGGAAATTAAATGTAGAAATATCGTCGCATTGCGAACAGCGTGAGAAGAATGCATTGGCAATGTTGCAATTAAAAACTGGTACAGGTGAAGATATCAACTTAGAAATGAATCACGACGAATTGTTACAACTGTATAACCAATTTGAGTGTATACAAACGGAACTTGATACCCTAAAAATTCAACAATGCCAATAAAATTTTAAAATTGGAATGCATAGGAATCGGAAAGAAGTGCGAAAGTAAACAAGAGGATGCCATAGATATTCTCCCGGTTGGAGCAAATGGAGTATGTATGTAGAAATCAATAAATAAGTTTATGTTTAACTATGACAGTAGAGTAAGGCTCAAGTAGTAAATTATATATACTAAGAATAATGTAAATACATTAATGCATTTGATGGTAAGAGGTTTAAATTTCAATTTTGTAAAGCCACAAAAAAGCGGTGTTGTAAAACTTTTTAGTCATGACACAATCCAAATTGAACATTCAAAATTTTTGCAAAAATTTGAGTATAAAATTTAATAATTTTCAATGCTTTTGCACACTATTTAATTATTAATTAGTTATTTTTAATTGCTATATGATTTTATCTTCCTTAACAAATCGTTACAACCGTGGATCGTTTTCGTTTCTTAAAATTAAATCTTTCAGTAGTTCAGTGTACTATACGTCTTATTAACAAAGTGCGATAGTAACATGTCACCGAAATATAACGAATATGATTCGATCATTTATGTCCATATCGTTTGCCCAGGAATCTGATCGACCGACGTTGTAATCCACACTGATTTTGTCTTTGTGTCCTCCACAAACGTGTTCACGCAGATTTCGTTGACGGCAGACGACGCGTAAACCAGCTGAGTCGGGTCCATCGTTGCAGTTTGCAGGAGCAACAACCTCAGCAATGCCGCCTCGTCTATATTCGGTGATGTTTCGAGGGTTGCCATGTGCATTATTGCAGCTAATGATCTTTGACACTTAATTCCAGGAACAGGGAGCATGGCTCTGATGGCACCAGATTGGGATATGTCTGTGTCTACGATGGCTTTGACTTGGGCTCCAAATGCTGAATACACTAATGGTGACGATCGCATTGTTCTTGAATTGTTGACATCAACTCCAATAGCTGGGTTCCACTCGATATGTTCCTCGTCCGAGTTGACTGTAAGCTTGTTTACAAGCAAGGGATCGGCCCACATGACTGGACTGTACTTGCAGTGATCGTTCTCCAGTCTATTTCTCAGTATCTCGATGCCCGATGGCATGTAATCCACACCGGTTGGGCAAAGTGTAGGGATGGGATCCAAGAACATTTTTCGTATTATTGCGAACATTTCGGCTGGTGTTGTAGTCGTCGTTTTCTGTATTTTGGTCGCAATCTCATTGTATCCCGTAGTTGCGCTACTTCCTGCCTGAGTAGGTCTACCAGACTGTGGAATGTTGACGTTAGCCATTGCGCTCCTGAGCTTATAGCCGCTCTTGTTCTGAGGAGGGGTGTGCTGGACTGTTGACATGTGTCGTCTTCTTCTGTTGTAGGGTTGTAAGTCTGGATATTTGGTCTGGTTTTATTTGGTGATGTGATGCGATCACCAAAAAGACCGCTTCCGCTTTCCCGGCAATGCAGCCTGATATACAGCCCAGTTTTGTTGTCGTTTTGTCTGGTCTGTCAACGATCTTGTGCGCAGTTACAATTTGAGCTCCATGGAAATGGATACCCCGTACTTTCAAAGCCCTATGCCCAGGAAAGTGGACTAGGACAGGAGTACTCTAGCTTGATCGTCGCCAAATGTGAGTCAGTGTATGAGTAAAATATACACTGGGGAAAGCTCTTTATTATGTTATATTCACTTGATGTATGTGTCTCGCGAAGTTTCGAAAATCTCGTTTCCGTAATCTCTCTCACTCGACTCTCACGACAGCCTGTTCTACGCACCGGAGTTGACCCGGATTTTATCCGGCCAAGGGCTGTCACCCTTTCGGCGACCTAACCCCGTTTAGGTCTACAGGTAACTTTAGTCTAAGTACGCCAACGGAGCAACACCTCACAGCTGGGTTGCTCCAAATCCTTCTGATCAGGGCTGGTGTAGAAACCAACCCTGGACCGACGGATTACTTCTGCTGCGTGTGTCAAAGAAGACTCCACCATTCATCCACCTCGGTTAGATGCACCCAGTGCAATGGTTGGAGTCATCTTAAGACCTGCTCAGGCCTTAAGACCCACAGGGAATGGACCACGAGTTATGTGGCCCCATGCTGCCAGCGTCCAACCGCCACCCCAGCCTACACGGTAGTGCCTTCAGCACACATACCCACTCTGGGTAATATGCAGACCTCCACGGTCTTACGGAGCTCCCCGCAGCATGATTCCCTCCAACCCCCATCCCCACCCACAACCAGCTCCTCATCCTCCTCCCGTGCGAGGGCTACCCAGCTCCTAGTCCCCCACACCGTCTGTTCCGTGTGTCATCTAACCCCCCTCTCCCTTTGGTCCAACCCCGTCGAAACAGCTCGTTTCCTGGACCTACCACTAGATGACCTCGGCTATTTAGACTGAACAAACCTGTGTCTAAGCGGGGTTAGCGAACCGCTACAACAACAACAACAATAACATCGACGTTGTAATCATGCATCGTCTGCAGGTGACGCCATCTTCTTTGCGGTCTTAACAACAACAACATAACTTTTAAATAAAATAATGTTAATATTTCCACTACCCCATACTGTATGATGGCATTTGCATCGGTCCCAACGATCCTTGGATTTAAAAACGCCAAATCTTCTAATATCCAGTTATGATTTACCAGCGTGCATTTGTTCCTTTAACACGCTTCCGTCCTTGGTGTCAATTTGACACAAGATTTGAGTTTCACGAAGGCTAACTCATGATATATGATGGCATTCCCGTTCCGTCGATGTAAATGCACTAGTCACTTCTTTTAGGATCGCTACATTGCATGGGATGACATTTTTTCCAAGAAGTATAAGTATTGCAAAATTGAGCACTGGGTACCCAAGTTGCAGTTAATCAAAGTTGACTTACGAACGTGATAAAAATGGAAGTTGCTTTTAGAACCAAGAGAAAAAATGCGAAAGTATGATTTTTATTCCGGTAAATTTTTTTTTTTAAATAATGGAGCTTCATAATTATGTTTGCTTCAAAAACAACTGATCATACGAACTCCTTCGATGATTTGTCTTAACCGCGTATTTAAATATCAGAAGATCCCATTACATACTGTTACGAATGTATTTTTTTTTTTTTTTTTTTTTTTTGGAATAACGCAAAATCGCTGATATCACTACTGCCCCATATAAAGTGGTGCGCGTTTGCATCGCATCCGATTATTATTGGTTTAAAAGCGACCAATCGATATTTAAAATTGAGAGCTTTTTTTGTAGCTCAGGAAAATTGACGCAATAATGACCAATGATTTGAGTACTTACATTAAAATAAATATTTTATGTTTTTTTCTTCGAAAAGTTGATGTTGATGCATAAGGGGTAATAAAAAATATCCTTATGTCTTCTTACTTTTCAACCTTTTTTTCTTTACTTTTTACTTGTGCTTTAATATACATATGTGCTCTTTATGATTTTGCTTTGGCTTATATTTCTACTATTCCATAATTTCTGGTAGACGATTTTACGGTCGCCATGTAAAGCACAAGCTTTACGTACACAAAATGCTGTGATTTATCCTTAGAAGGATACCTTATGCCCTTTTCTTATTTTCTTATAGGTATGTATATTAATTGTTAAACAACAGTTTGCAAATTCTGCTAATCCATAGGCTTACTATTCGTCAGCCGAAATGTGCATCAATAAAAACAACATGAGTTCTGAGTATTGATTAAATTCGTTTTATATACGTTCTATTTATACTACAATTTTGTCACAATTCATTTCCGCGATTCCGCTCAGCAACCATATGTTTGCTGATATAGCATATAAAGTGGACGTTGACATGGTGTAATATGACCCTTGCTTTTATTATGGTGAGCTATGCTCTTATGATAGCAGCAGCGTAGAGTTATTGACCAGATTCTTCGTTTATGTCAATATGTCATTTCAATTTTGGTTTACGTAGTATTTTGATACTCGTATGTAAAAGTTACATTTTATTTCGTTACGAAATACTAAAAAAAAATATTTTTTTGTGCTAAGCACGTCTTTATTGTCAAAAGTACAAATTTCAACTAACTCTAACTTTACATTCTACACTTAAGCTAAGCTTGCCTGTTGAGGCGGGAATGAAAGACGGCGGTAAAATGAAGACTTCACTATTACTAGGTTAAAGTATAACTGACTCCACAATCTGTGGAGCGTTTATTTATATAAATTTGTAATATGAAAATTTACATGCATGCATATGTGTACATAAGTATGTTAAATATTTTACATTAGAAGATTACCCACGAATAGATAATCTTATCTTATGTTTTAGTTTTATTGCTTTACACATTCATGATAAGAACATCAGCTTATCGTTTCGGAAAACTATACATTGCCATTTTTCCCTTCTCACATGCACTTGACACGTGAGTTACCTGCATTCGTAAATTGTGCCATATGATATGCTACCTTCCTAGACATATCGTCAGCGGAACTTGTGCTTCGCGTGGGAACGTCATTTCCAGTGTCTGTTATGTTCACTTATATATGTAATTCAGACCATTACACAAGAGACAAAATCAATGGACTCGGCCCAATTTTTGGTACGATCTTAACGCTCAGTTGTATATGTACATTTGACATTAATCCTCGCCTTGTTACATTATTAAAAATAAATTAAATATTTAAAATTTAAATATTTAGCATATAACTTTATCGTGTAAAAGATTAATGTTAATAATCTGGCAGGATGAATGCCATACAAAAATATTGATATTTATTTGATTGCTAATTTTTCTAATCCTAACAAGCTTGGCTCCGAAGGTTGTGCCTGCTGCAATAAATATTTAAACAGCAGTTTGCAGTTCTGCTAATCATAAGGTTTACTGTTTAATGTTGTCGAATTGGTGTAATATGACCCTTGCGTTTATTATGCTCTGCTTTGCTTATGTAATAGCGGCAGCGCAGAGTCATTGGCCTGATTCTTTGTTTATGTAATTTTTATGTTTTTGCTTGCGTAGTGTTTTGCTACTCGCATGTTACTCAGACCACTACACCAGTACACCAGTACACTTAATGATTAATATTTTCATAAGAAAAATTTAGAGATTTTACTCAAAATTACAATCCGCCATTTTTATACAGAATGATGGGTTCCGAAACTCATTAGTGCATATTTCATATATGTACAAACATCTGCCAACAAATCTAAACATTTATATCCATAATTAAGTTTTAAGCGTACCATTCGTTTATTAAGGCATTTTTAAACGCAGATTTTGTGTTCGTT